TATATACATATATATATATATATATACATATATACGTATATATATATATATATATATTGATTATTAAAACCGTAAAGACTGATTGTATTACACCGCAATCCACGAAAACCCTTTAGTAGATGGTGCTAGGTGTGTGACAGAGTATTACGCAGGTCACACTATTGGCTGGTGGTTTTTAGTCATTGGCACGTGTATTTTAGTGAAACTTTCCGTCTCTCTGACCCGACACTTCACACTTGTACTCTAAAATTGAATGCAGCCGTCAGAGATTTACGTACTACACCGATGTGGCTGACTGACTGCAGGACGAGTTGACTAGTTCATGTATGCACTAGTACTTGTATTGCTACGGACGGGTTCTGATCCTTGTAAGTATGCCCAACATACTTCGCAGTACGTGATACGGATTTATTATAGCACACTTGTATTCGCCTCATGATTGGAACGTGTACAGTTGTTTATGAATTCGAGATGGGGACACGCTGTGGCTGAAGCCACTAGGTCCATTTATTATATCTACCGCGTCTATGACGCTCCACACTAGGAGAGCTCTCTGGACAGACTTGGGCGCTTTTGGCAAAGTATTTGTACGTCTACATGTGGTGTTCTAGGTTGCGGGAATCAAGTGCTATACGAATAAACGAAACCCTACAAAATGAAACCCTACAAAGCGAATTCGAAGCAGTCAATTGACTCGGTTGCAGTACACATGGTCAGCGACTCCGTATTTCATACTACGAGAACAGCACCTCCTTTGAATCCTGAATGACAAGTGCAGAACTGGGCATGTATATACAGTTCATATATGTGTTATGTAATGTCCATATACGTGTTATGTATATGTAGAGTTCATATATGTGTTGTGTAAAGTTGACATATGTGTTTTGTCGTATTTATGTATATCTACGACAATGTGAATACGTTGCATCCTCTTTACATGCTGCATGATTATCGATCGCATGATGTATAGGCTGTGTATGGTACATGGTTGCAGCTGTCGATATATTATAGGTGCGTTGAATCCACTCTGGCAGTGTACAAGAATGTCCCCAGAGGGACCGGAACTCGCGTACGGGTTGACAGGTTTATTCGGCACTATGACAGCCGTGTCTAGTCTATGGTTTCATAGCTGACCTTAATAGAACTACGCCGAGACGCTCACATATTGTCCGTAGCGACTGAATTGGTTGTGCTTAATCCGAAGTTCCGCAGTTAACAAGCTGTTTCTGGTGTCCCACAGCAGCACAACCGATTCCTAGTACGAGTAACACTCGATACGCTCAACATGACGTACTGTACAAGTGTGCCCTCTGTTGACTTGATCTACGCAAAGGCTCTGTAGGTACGAACAGGGGCCGTGTGGTGACAGAAGACCACGTGTACTGGCCTGACACGGTGTCACATGTCAACACTATAAATAGCACTCCTCTTGTACAGCCCCCGCAGGTACCGAACTGCAGCATTGTGCGAGGTATACCCTGCGGCGCTAATTGGCACCGATCGATGATGAGCCTTACTCGCAGCCTGCCACCTACGCCTGTACATCGATGTATGACTATGGAACTATGGGGGCGATTGCGTCGTCCGAGGCCTTGTGTTTGCAACATGAAGTTCGGTACTAGGGGTGTGATCTTCGGAGATTATGGTAGAGTAGAGTGAAGGATAAACGCTCGTCCTTTAATTCCAGGCAGCCCGTACACAGTACACCGACGACAACTATGCGGCCATGCGTACCATAATATCCACGACATGACTAAGCCCGGTGACATAGATACTAAGGCGATACCTGATAGCGCTATTGCACCTCCGGGACTGGTGCATTCCGGTCTGAAACAGTACGTGCCTAAGCTATCTCGTCGAATTCTGGGTCAGTGGCTCTGTGCGCGTGTTCCTGATCACCAGTTGCTTACGACAGTCTCCAATGGTCGCTGGACATAAGTACGCTAGTAGTAGTACTACCCCACGCCTATAGCCGGCAGTATCGGTCTATGGTTGTATGTTTGGGGTCGTACTGTCACTCAAACAGGTTAGCAGACGCATACAGGAAGGACAGCCACGGCAATGTGGGCCAGCCGCTGTACACAGCACTTCGGTTCTGTCTATCCGATGCGATAGCTGGGCATAGCACCGGACCAATTTCACTTTTTAGGGCCTGACAGCTATATACACGCGATCGTGCTAATTAAAACGATATGTAGCTGTATGCACTCGGCCGGGGCAATTCAGGACAGCCGCTGGATACATTGGGGTTCTCTCCGAAACCCAATGGTCAAAACAATTGCGCCGGCCCTGACTAGTCTACACATGGCTGTATAACTGCGCATGTCCACGACAAATTGTGCTTGCAGATACGTGTACGAAGCCGTTGACCTGTTATGTAGGTAGGTCGGTAGAGGAGTTCATGATGATACATCTCGCTTAATCAGTCCTGCAGCTGCATGCACGAAGTACTACTAACGAGTCGAGGCCAGGAGCTCAACGTCATGATGTCCATACTAGCAGTGCAACACAGCAGCTGCATACATCCCTACAACCACGTGCCACCAGTTGGACAGGCGTGCGGCAACATATACAGTGTTGAGACCATGTATTGTATTGTATTGTATTGTATTGTAGGTCTTTAGGAGTGTGCGTGAGGCAGGGACCCAACTATAATGCCTGCATCTGGATGCACAAAGCACCTCTATCATGGCCCAGGTTAGTGGGTGTATGCACGCACGCCCTCACTGTTCTGCAGTAGTGGGTGCAGAGAACATCATGGCGTTTACGCCTGCAGCTGTGTGTACCTACACGAGGTCGATTTGGTGAAATGGATACAATATATGTCGGACGAACGGCCAGTAGCTGAACACGTGAAGCTTTGCTTACATCCACAACCTTCGATGATACTAAGAATACCTTGCATCAGAACTTAGTAATGTTCACGTCCTTATCAAACCTCACGACTGAAGCAAAGCACACATGGCGCATACCCTAGCAGCCCCCCTGTCACTGCACAGATCTGTATTACTAAAGGTGCAATGGTTGCAAGCCCACTTGTTAATAGGTACCTCCCGTCTTTCAACTTGCTGGCCAATTGCGATTCTCCGTTCTTCATCAGTAGAGTGTGATGACTCATCAGGTAAAAACAGCGACGGTGCTACAGTGTCTTTCATACAGCACCTCGTGCATACACCCGGACTACTTCTGGTATTACCTGTGCGCTGATTTGCAAAGGTACAAAATACACATTTCCACGTTGCACCCACCTCTCTTGCTTTGGATCTCCCCGGTGAAGAACACTCTGAAGCATTCGCCCGTGTGACTGTCTGTGTATACCTCTGTTCGTTTGTCTGTCTATCAGATCTACCAGAAAGCGTGCTACCCGTTGCTGCCTTCCATACACTCCCATCTCTCTCCACCCTCACTGTCCTCCTTTGTGTTGGACAAGTATCTACACTCTGCTTTGCAACAGGTGACTGAGATGTGCCTGTCGTTTTGGCTGTACGAGCGGCGCCTCTTTGTGACTGATTGGCGACTCCATTATGTCCAGCCATGTGTAGTTGCAAGTTTCCTGTATCCTTACCTACATCATTGATACTACCTTCCACATCGTCGTCACTGTCCAGAATCTCGATGATTTCAGGACAAGATGCTCCCTTTGCCGTCTCCTTTCCCTTTCCTTGGCCAACACTTACACTTACACGTAAACGCACATCCGTGCTGTTCGATGCCTTACTCGTAGAAGACACCCGGCCATTCTTAATACTGCTACTGCCCTTTCCATACCGATATGGTCCGTCACAGTTTGCCACCTCCGTTCTACCTACACTCGCGCCACGTGAGCGGCCAATCCCCGCTGCAAACAATGTACTGGCTAAAGGTTTCTTCGCACGTTTCGATACACTCTCACTGACTGTTGGTTGGCCATTTGACGTAGCTGGTACTGCTTGTGCACTGTCTACATCATCTAGGTCGATCGTATTCTCATCACCACACCAGAGATTGTCGCGCCGGCGTTTCTCCGCAGCCTGAGAAGGTATGTGATTAGCCAGCCAATACTTGGTAGCTCAGAGATATATCAAGAAGTATATCAAACACAGACACAAGTACCCACCCCGCATAGATTTAGGTGAATGTATCTATAGCCATGTATATCACGTATAAGCGATACAAACTGCGGCATTGTCAGGAGTGCCCGACAAATGACACCAGTCGGAACTAGACTACCAAGCACCCGTACAACCAGACATCAATTGATTAGCAATCCCCTTTACCAAAAAATATATTAGATCGCAGCGCTTGTTAATCATAAACGATACTCCACTGCGGCTCTATTGCAAACCCTATAGCTTCTTTGTCAATACAACTCTCACCACGGGACTAAGCGGGGTGCAGCAGTGGCCACATCCAAACACGCTGCACGAACCTTCAGTACAGATTCACTACTTCGGCAGAGTTTCGAGGCAGACATAGACATAGTATAGCACCCATATAATCGATATTGGGATGAAAATAACATACCAGTACAGCCAGCTCTCTTGGACTCTTGTTGCTACCAAGAGTGCTGCCTCCCCCGAGCCTTCTCCCATCGAAGTAGGGTGTGTCTCGCCGCCTACATTACAATCCCGAGAAATGCACAGTTTTAGTAAATACTTATAGTTATACAATCTCAGCGCAAATTTTTAACCAATCAAGACATTTCACCCGTGTCACCGAGGACCGTATCGATACCTCGCTCAAAGGTGTCGGTATGAATGTAAGTATCCACACAACTGAGACGCTTAAATAAAGTAAGAACAATTGCACCACAGGGTGTACCTCTTTGTGGCCGCTAGCTCCATAACACGGTGTCTCTCTGCGTCTGAGGGATTGGTCCACCGATTGCCGCCCAGTTTCTTACCGCCGGTATCAAACCCCTTCAGCCCAGTAAATCCCTTGTGCATCCAGTCCTCGCACTCCTTTCTGATAACGTCGAGTAACGCGTAGAACCTCACATCATGCGGGCCATGAACTGTTATGTACAATAATTTGCCTTGAGTGTACGGATTGAGGTGGGGTTTGCGATGGTGATAGCCATAGCTTAATTAACACTTGCTATCATAAGGTATACATTATTATACCTAACAGTATTCGAACGCGTGCCATGGCTCCACGGCCGAATCTAAGCGAGTTGTTATGTGCAAAGTTCTGTGGACAAGCTACTCAGTATAGACATTCGCAGGATGTCGGGTTGAGAGACAGAGGGTCATGCCTTCCCTTCAGCGACAACCCAAACTCGACCATAGTGGCCATGAACGCCGTATCTCCTTCATAATCCATGGACAACCGACCTACACCCCACAAAAAACTAAAGTTTACCCCCTGCGCCGACATACCGTTATGCACGAGTTCGTGTAGCATCGTCCCGAGAACAAACTCGAAGGAGTAGAAGCTCTCCGGGTCGTTGGCGGGTCGCAGACGTATACGGACCTCTTGTCCTCGATTCACATTCAACCCCAGCAGATTAGCATTCTTGGGGAAAAACTCTGTGGGGCCGAAACAGTGTGCACAGGGCAGATTGATTGGAAGTGTATCGGGTAATCCAGCCGCGGACTTACAGGCCAAAGCTGGTCCTGAATGGAACTAAAGGGCCGATGAACCCACGAGGAAGACCACGAGGCCTATTAATGGACCGCAATGACCAGATAACAATACACGACGGGCCGCTTCAGAAATCTACATACGTCCGCTGAGTCAATGTGTATCGACCTCGTCTCGGTATTGATGACCGTGGGCTTTGGTATAGTACAATCCCCGAAACAACATCCCAAGGCAATCGAAATGGTAGGACATACCGCGTAAAATCAGCACCTTCCAACTGCGCGCCTCCATGATCTTAAACACCATGCCTGCACACTGCCGTAGCAATTTGTGCGCCTCATCCTGCCGATCTCTCTTCAGGGCTCTGATCTCCGATACCAGAGGATTCGGCGATTCTAAAAGTGTCGGAAAAGGCAGCCCAATCACATAAGCACACAACAAGAACATATGGATAACTGGCTATTACGTTAGGTCTCTTGCACTAGCTAATAGGTTAGTGAAGTATCGAGTGGGTACGGGAAATCTGAGAGTCGCCACTTCCGATGGACTACAGCTGTGTGCATGCGTAAGTGCTACAGCTGTGGACGACAGATTGGGTACGAAGTGAAGTAGCTGCAGAATACATATCATACAAGAGTTCGGTCAAGAAAAAGATATTGCACGGGAAACAGGGTGATACGCCGTCCGCGGTTGAACACAAGGTATATGATGCACAATACAGCCGTGACACAATAGACAACTCGAATAATACAAACTGTGTGTACTTGTGTACCGAAATCTGGGTTGACCAAATATCGCACAGAAGGCGAGACTGCATATCGTGGATGCAGCGCCTGGCGTGAGTTTAATGTGGGCTGACCATGTCACCAAAAAGGGTACATTATATATATATATATATATATATATATGTATATATATATAAGTATTATATATATATATATATATA